GAATAGATGATTATTCACTCTTCGCATGGAGTTGTTATGAAACGACATAATGATTATGGTCATGTGTTTTCTGCATGCACCTTCTGATTGAAGAATTTGAAGGTTTAGTTGATCAGAGCTTCAACTGCTCTCTTTTCTGCGTCCATCATTTAATTTCTTTTTGGGTTTTCTTTAGGGACAGACTGAGTGATTTTACTCATAATTTGTGATACTTGTGGCTATAACCTAATCTTATTTTGTATTTGATTTTTTGAGATTGCAGGTGGATTGGACAAGTAGCACAAGTGCCGGTTCTTGATTTATCACTCTGGTTCTATGTAGAGGAACAATCTATTAAAATGGTTCTGTTCTACGTAATTGCAACTTTGTATTTCCTTACCTTGGAGGCCTGCCTTGTAAGTCAAGTATCTGCCAAGTAGTGATTGTGAAGGTAACGCTGAGTATGTGGACATAGCAGGTTTAAGTTCAGGTTCTTCCTTGGCTGCTTATGCTTCAGGCTCAGCCTAATTTCCCTTTCTTCCTATCATGTCTCCAATGGACAGAGTTCCTTTATTACAATTTGCCAGTGCCCAGGAAATCCGGAAGTTTCTTTTGCATCTAGTTTAGGTAACAATTAAAAGTTTACAACTACATCTTCTGCAGGGCCTTATGAACTTGAAAACAAGAATATAATTAAATTGGCCAGCTTTGACTCCTTTAGATTGTATTCTGGCTGCACTCAATTCACCTCTAGATTCTTCGCTTTCTATTGATCTTGATTAATTAGTTCAAATTTAGTTTTTTTTTCTTGGTGTGTTTTTAGAGTTATCTTGCTGGACCGAGCAACATGCTCTTAGTGAGTTTCTTCAGTGTTGGTGGAAGTCCTAGAGACAGCTCTATGTTTCTTTTTAATTCTTTGTGCGCTTTGAAATCCTGCATATTTTGTTCAAATTGTTTTTTTTTTTTTGGGGGGGTGGGGGGTCAGATATTGTGCTTGATTTAATTCGTTGCACAAAATTAGGTTTATGACCTATCGTGTGCCACTGGTTGGGTTGTGTTGAAGCCAAAAGTCGTGTTGATGGTGAAGTTATACCTTTGTAGGACATGGACTGTTACATGGTTGACTGGTTAGTTATAAGACATGGATAGTCATATGGAGAACAAATAATAGTTAATATAGAAAATAAAAATCATAGGACGATTGCTGTATGGTGAATTGAACATATTGTGATTGTTATTCTCTGATATCTTATTGTAAGCTAAATTTGTCTTCAGATGTTCTTATCTACGTATGTCTTAGATTCAAGTTATGGTCATTAATAAAGTGGGTTGTAATATGTGCATGAATGCAAGATCTTATGATGTTTGTATTGTAATCTAGGTTTGAAATGTATTTTGTTTATTTTTAGAATAAACTGATTAAGATAGGAGAGCTATTTTGTTCATTTTGGGTACTTCGATTCATGAATTACTAAATCTCGTATTTTTATTCCACTTATCTAGCATAAGATAATTCATACAAAATTTCCCAACTTACGATATGAAAGATTATGGTTTGGTTTGGATCTCAACAACTTTTGATATAACACTTGGCACAAAAAATATCTGTTATGTTTTGTTACTGCCTGCGGTTCACGCAGGTCGGAGGAAATAAAGAAGTGTCCAAATAATAAAGGAAGTTGTAAGATGAGCAAATGATTTTTCATTAAAATACAGTGGTACTACTTGAGGAGGATTTGTGGGGTTGCATTTTCAGGATATATTGGATGTCAATATCCTAATAATATTACCATTTGTTGGGTAAACATCTGAAGCATCATGTAATGGTCTCTTTGAAAATTTAAGTAAATTTTGAAGAACAATATATCATGCAACTTGGAAACAACATATGTTCTTTTGAAACGAATCAAAACCTTAAATTGGGTTTCATCAATCTCACCACATGTTTTCATGTCTTAAAGAAAGAAAAGACTTGAGTATTGTTTAATTTGAACCAATAGTAGAACTATGATTGCATATTTGTCTTTTCGTACATTCACTGCTACCTTGAGAAACATTTACTACAAGACTCTTTGGCTGGCTGAATTTGCTAATAAATAGTTTTTCTTGAATGAGCAACAAGTTGGTGTAAAAACTCACAAAATAGAATTTACATGCATCCCATTTGCACATTTACTCCACCAACAGTATTTTCTCATACATAAGTAAGTCCAACAGAAAAGTTTGTTGTTAAGCAGCATACCACTATTCTGTGGGGCATAAACCGATGTCACCACTGACCTGACATTTTCTATTTATAGCTACAGGTTGATATACTTATATTTGAAAACATGAAATTATTTACTGAAAATTGGCTCTATTGTTTTATAGTTTAAACATCTCAAGCATGGTTGAAGTAATAGTTAACACTACTAATTATGTGCAATTGTCCTACCCTATTTCTTCTCTTAATTACTCTTTAGGGAAGGAGGGAAGAGGTTTTTGCTAAAAGTTGCACTACTTCCAACAGGATGGAATACTCTGGGAGCCATAAAATAGGCTCGTATATCAAGCTTTGACCTGAATTTTATGAGATGGGAGGGAAACCACAAAATTTCAAATACAAATCTTCGTATAGGAAAATCCATTCAATACCTGTGGATATAGGGATTTGTTTGGGTAGTCGAGGTATACAAACAAAGCTATCCTAGAAGGAACTTTTGAAAGTAATTTGGAAACAGAAAATCGATAAAAAAAAAAAAAAACAGTAACGAATACTTTCTGTCGAGTGTTTTCTTGCTTTCTTCTTAAGAAGATAAAAAAAAATCAAAATAATTTAGTTTGTCTCCAAATCATTCATTTGATAACTTTCAAAGCTTCTTCAAGTTGAATACAATATATTTTAAAACGGGATTTTCAAAATTGACCACTATAAATTTGTCACATCCAGTGAATTATCAAAAAATAATTATGTATTTTTTTCAATGTTTTGTTATTTGGATGAGATACTCGTTCGTATATGTCAAGTACAAGAGTATCGTTTTCTTCTTTGCTGATTGAATCAGCGAAATCATTGCATACATTGGAATTTATAGTTTTTTTCAAAAATTTTGTATCCAAATTAAGATGTATAATGAATGAATTGAAATTGTTTTTTTTTAGTTTATTAGTTTTTTTCTGTTTGAATGCATACAATAATTTGTATCCCATTAAGTTAATGAAACTAATCGATCATGAACTATATGTTGAATACAACAATATATGAATACAAAAGTGAGATGAAAATACAAAATTATAAATGTAAAGTGAGATCGAACATAAATTTCTGAGTACAAAAGAAATACTTTCTTCATTTGAAATACAAAATGATTTTGAAAGATAAAATACAAACTAATCCATCATGAACTATATGTTGAATACAACAATATATGAATACAAAAGTGAGATGAAAATATAAAGTTATAATTACAAAGTGAGATTGAATATAAAGTTGTGAATGCAAAAGAAATACTCTCTCAATTTGAAATACAAAGTGACCTTGAAAGGTAAAGTAGGCACATAAAAGACAACTTGTTGGTATACAATTAGGTTGAATACAAAACAAAAGAGATATACAAACTTGTTCATATAAATTGAGATTGAAGTACAAAATGAATACCCAATACGATAAAAAATTGTTAGCATACAGTTAGGATGAATTAAAATTAAGAAGTAAATACAAACATGTTGGTACACTAATTGAGATTGAAATACAATGTAAAAACAAAAATTGTAAACCTTTTTGATATATAGATATAATGGATGCACTAATAAGATGTTGATTATGTAGACAAACAAATAAAAAAAATTGTTTAATCGACTAAAAATCTGAGATACATAAATATTAGATGAATATGTAAACAAATTTGCATAAAAAAAGTGATAAAAAAACTATAATATGTAGAATGCGAATATAAATAAAAAATGGCGATATTTAAATCCGCAATATATAGAATCTAAAATATACACCATTATAGTTGATTTTAAACAACAAATCAAAATAAATTTAAATAAATAATGAAAATTACCTTGCCAATTGATAAATCTGCTTGAATTAATTAGAAGATTTCATTTAACAATAAAGAAAATTTCTTGAATTAAAATATGAATTTTGATGAACAATTTGTGAGCACCTTGAAGAAAGAGAATTTGAAAATGTGAAAAAAGGGATAGAAACGGGAAAGGTGGGGTAGAAATGCTAAAGGTGAAGAAGGAATGTTAATGGGTATTTATAACTGATTGATTTAGAATTTGGTCCAATATATGAAAGTTTTAATAAATAAAATTAATTTTAAATACTAAAATCTGAATATATATTTTTTTCTAATATATCAGCATTCTGCCATTTTAAATAAATATTTTAAAGTGTTGTTATTTTGACTAAATATGTTAGGTATTATGACTTAATTGCTAATTTTTTCTATTTTTTCTAGTGGGATCGTCTCTTCATTCCGAGGCAACCTTTATATCTATTTGTTAATTTCGACCAATATTTGGCTATTTGATATAATTTTTTTAGCAAAAATCCTATTTTCTTTTCAGATTTCAACAATTTATTTTTTCAGATTCTAAAAACACATACAATTTTTTTTAACTAATATTGTTGTTGGCTACATATTCTAATTTCTCCACATGTATTTAAGGATTGATACTTTTGGCTCCAAAAATATAGGAATCGGAAGTTTAAACCCTATGATTACTTCATAACCGTTAATTGGAAGCTCAAACTATTTAGCTTAGGCTCCCTCGGTTGAGTTGTGGTCCAAATATCAAGGTGTAAAAGATCACTTAACAAACAATACTTGTGTGGTAGATGAAAAGACAAAGGCTAATGAAGAAGATGCAAAAGTCAAAGCATAATGAGAGAAGCTTGATATGCTTATTTGTGTAGTCTCTTTGACACGACCCAGGGGTACCCCCCAGATGTAACATGATGTATAAGACCCCGAAAGACCCATACAAGCCACTTAACATTAATAACATAAGAAATTAAACAATAAAGGTAAAACAATATTTCAAGTCCAATAGTTTTATAAAAGTAAAGCAGAAGTCTAAAACACTTGCCTCAACAACCAACTAGTACAATAGAATTAAATTGGGCCTAGATCATACATCATGTACATAACTTAAAATATAAGAAAGAAACTAAAATGCTGATAATCCGTCCACGAAGCATGAAGACTCACCGAAGCTCGAAAACCTCAAAATCAACCATTAGCCACAAAATTGAGAAACCTGAAAGTCGGACACTACATTTGGGGAAGTATTGACAAGAGTATGCGTTTAGTACAAAAAAATGTACCAAGTATGATAGCTATGCATAAAACATTTAAATCATGATAAAGAGGACATTTCATGACATGCAATTGATCAAAACTAAAACATGATATAAAGGGGTTAGAAAACATAAGTCATAAAACATGGTCTGCAAGCTAACACCTTTAAAGTCTTTGAACACATATGATATACTTCTTGAAGAAACCTAATTCATTATTAATGTGAGAATTATCCTTAACTGACATAGAGACCATGCGAGCTATAACATGAACCCCCAATGTCTCCTACACCGAAAAAGGTTGTCGTACTTGACAAGGTAAGGACGATGAACTTCTAGCTTAGGTGAATTCAGTAGTTAATGTCTATCTATACAATCATCCTATGGGGAACATAGGTAAGAGATAAGGAGATTGCTTCTAGGAACCCGACCTCTACTAACGATAGAGCTTCCATCCTATATCTTCTCGGTGCTAAGCATAGATCCCACATAATAGTTACTTGTTCTTATTATCCATGGAAGGACACATCATATTTCCAATCCAAGCTAAGTCATTATCCATGGAAAGGTATTATTAAATAACTAATCCAAGCTAGATTTTATCAGCATAACTCTTTAATCTTTGATACAATTAGGTGAGAAACCTTTCAATCGTAGAATCCTTATTATAAGAGAAAACCTTTCACATCATTCTTTCATGTGTATTTGAGAACAGTCCTTTCAACAACACAACAATATATAATCATTGATACTTTACTGTCAAAGCATCCTTAAAACATTTGCATAGGTTTCAGAACAACATGCATAATTCCATAATTTACCTGGCAAGGTTCAAAACCTACTTTCAATCATCAACATTTAGAAAACATGGGTTAGATATGAATTTCATCATAAATTCATGTAATTCTATCGATACATGTTTAATTTCATAAAACTCTTCCTTGTTTCCCCATGAACCTATGTAATCCCAATGTTTCATGTTATGATCACGTGATGTGAGATTTTAATTATGAAGGAAGAGTTTTACAAAATTAAGCATTTATTGATCAAAATTTTACATTACATGATCATAACATAAAACATGGGGATTACATGGGTTCATGGGGAAATCATCATAAAATCATAGTATTTCATTAATTTATGCATAAAAGGTCATAATTCAATCATTTAAATCAATAATCAAGAGAGCCCATGATAATGGCAGAAAGCCCAAACTTAATTGATGATTTTAACTTTGAAAATACGAGAATTAGGGAACTCCATAAATGGAAGGAACCCTTGGATGAAAATTATCATACCTTGAAGCCAATTGCTAATCTTCAATGGAGGAATTGAGACTTGACTTGAAACCGAAGGTTGAATCTTTCTTCTTCAAGCTTTCTAGAGAGAGAATTATTGGAGAGTTTTTTTTGTGAATTTAAAGAGAATTAAGTGAATGAGTAAGTTTTGGGGTTAAAATAACTTATATAGGGGTCTCAGTGAAGGGTAAAACAACATAGTATAAAGATAAAATGATTAGGAAAAGACCCAACTACCCCTAAAAATAATTTCTAGACCACCATGGCCACGACTAACTGACCATGGACAGGATGATGGGCCCTCCTGCACAACAGTTGTTCGTGTTCAGAAACTTGTTTTTGGGCAAGTGAACCAAGAGCCCCAACTCCCAGACCATGGTCTAAGCGATGATCTATTTGCCTGGACGTGTTTTCTGGCCTCTAAAGATTTTGGGGGTTACCAATCCATGGACCACCTTACTCTCCGTGGTTCAATCTGCTCTTGCACATGCAACTTCCTGAAATTTTCAATATCACCCCTTTCCAAATTCGGGGTGTTACACTCTTATTTCATTGATTTCAAGTTTATGCCCTTCTTTCGGCCCATTTCAAACATGTAATTCAGTTTGAAAAAATGCTCACACTTCATACACTAATGACATAAATCGATTTAATGATGTGTTATCTCTTATGACCAACTTAAAGAAACAAGAATTAGATATGTCCACTTACTTGAGACAAGTACAGGCAGTCATGGAGGAATTTGACACATTAATGCGAGTCACTGGGAACATGTAAGATAAGAGCACGGAAAGACGTTGTTTTTCATTCTTATACTTACAGGATTTCCTATTGATCATGTTTCATTGTGTTATTATATTTTAAGTAGTCCTACCATTCCTACAATTTAAGAATTATTCTCGCGCCTACTTTGTCTTGACGCGCCTCCTAGTCATAATGTAGTTTCATCATCCACAATTGACTCATATCCTCTCGCATCTCAAACCATAGAAAAATGAACATATCAATTTATCGAAAATCGATGATGATGAGGACGTATTGTCAAATCTCGATCCAAGTATAGTTATTGTCATAGAAGGAATACTCATGAAATATGTCATATTATTCACGGTCCAACACCCACTTATGATCATATACTACTTTAAAGGAATATAGTGAGTTCCTTCAGAATCACACAAGTAAGCAGACATCTACACAAGTAGACTCTATTTCTCAACCCGATCGACATTCCTATAATGCTTATATTGCTCTAGTAGAATATAATGAGTTTCTTCAATATCGAGCAAGTAAGCAAACAACTCACAAAGTAGCTTCAGTTGTTCAAGATGATGTTTTGTTAGGGGTAAATGTTTTGCTTGTGTTTTATAGTATAGTACTCTTGAACTTTTATTATTTTAGCCAATAGAATCCAAACAAAACCAAAAGGGGTTGGAAAAGCCAAACCCCTATCTTCTGTAACTCTAGACTCTGTTCTTTATGTTCCCAATTCTAGTTTTAATCTGGCATTTGTTAGTTGTTTGACTAGTAACATAAATTGTAACATAACTTTTCTGATGATTTTTTTCTCATATAGGACTGAAGAATGAGAGAATGACTGATACATGACATAAAACGCATGACCTTTACTATCTTACCTCTTTAAATTCCCTCATATGCATCATGCTTTGTGACAGATCCTCAAGACCTATTTCATATATGTTTAGGTCATTCCAGACCTATTTTGATAAATTTTTAAGTCATTCCGGTCTATCCAAACTGCAGCAGATGGTGCCTAGTTTGTTTATTTTATCCACATTAAATTGTGAGTCATGTCAACTTATAAAATATATTCGTTCTACATTTTCAAGTGGAACAGAGGGTTGTTCAAAATCTATTTTTTCCTAAGTTCATTAAGATATTTTGGGGTCCCAGTAGAGTTAGTTCAACCTTAGAATTTCATTATTTGTTAGTTTCTTTGTTGATTCTCCAAGATGAACTCGAGTTTTCTATTCAAAAGTTTCTTTGCTAATAACAAAATCAATTTGTTATTTCTATTCATACTTTAGTAATGATTATGCATTAGAATACTTATCCTCCCAATTTTAGGAGTTTATGTATCACCAAGGAAATATTCACCAAACATCTTGTCCATACACTCCTAAAAAAAGGATGCAACTGAAAGAAAGAATAGGCATCTTATTAAGGCTGCTCACACTCTTTTGAATGCTATGTTCCGCTGCATTTTTTGGGGCAATGTTGTCCTTTCATCTTTTTTATTTAATTAATAGAATCCCCTCATCTTCTATTCAAAATCAGGTTCCACATCTCATATTATTTTCTTTATCATATCTCTATTATACTCCCTTCGTGTCTTTTGGAGCATATACTTTGTTCATAATTTAGCCATAGGGAAACATAAATTACCCCTCATGATCTAACATGTGTCTTTCTTGGTTACTTATGAGTTAAAAAAAGGGTATCATTGCTAAACAAATTATTTTCATTGATCGATGTAACATTCTTCTAATCTCAACCTTGCTATACATAGTCTGATATATGTCTCTGAGGTCTTACCCATACCTCAAGTCCTACTTGTATCAACTTTTAAAGAATTTACAATTATTTCCCTATCTCCACTTATAGTGCCCCACTACTGACCTATCATCATTGTCCACGTCTAGCACTAGTCAAATCTAATTCATTTCATGCACTAGACTATGATCTTATTGTGGACTTGCCTCCTCCTAGCCAATCGACTACACTTCATAAAGGTATACAATCTGCTTGAAATTCTAACCCATATTATACTTTATTGATTTATCATCTTTTATCTTCACCCCATTATGCATTTGTTTCATCTTTGTCCTCTAATTCCATTCTAAATACAACATGAGAATCACTTTCTCATTCTAGATGGAGGCAGGCTATGATTGATAAGATGTATGCTTTACCTTCGAGTCGTACCTAGAAGATTGTATTCCATCCTATAGGTAAATTTGATGTGTGTTTCCGTTAGGTTTATGCGGTAAAAATTAATCTAGACGGTCAAGTTGATTGTCCTAAGACTCGCTTTTTTACCGAAGGTTATAGTTATACATTTGAGATGGATTATAGTTATACTTTAGATCATGTGGAAAAAATAGCATGGGTACATGTTTCCCCATATATGGTTGTTGTTCATCATTATCCTCTTAATTAGTTGGACATTAAGAATGCTTTTCATAATGGTGATCTTAAGAAAGAGGTCTATGTGGAGAAATCACCTGGTTTTGTTGCTCCTAGGGGATTCTATTAGACTTGTAGCTCGATTACGTAGGTTACTTTATAGCCTGAAACAATCAGCATGGAGCTTGGTTTGGAAAGTTCAACACAGTAATTCAGGAGTTTGGCATGATTTGTAGTGGAGCTAATCACTTTGTAATTTATTGACATTCAACACCAAATTTGAGTATTTATTTGGTTGTTTAAGTTGATGATATATTTGTCGGTAATGATCAACATGGTATCTCATCTCTTTCAACATTTCATACTAAAGACCTCAGCAGCTTGAAGTGTTTTCTAGGAATTGTGGTTGCTTGCTCTAGATCAAGTATTGTTATTTCTCAATGCAAGTATGCCTTAGAAATTCTTTAAGAGATAAGAATGATTGGATGAAAACTCATTGACATTCTTATGGATTTGAATTTTACACCTCTTTCAGGATAGGGGAGTCACTTAGTAATCCTAAAAGGTATATAAGGCTGGTTGGGAAGTTGAAGTGTCTCACAATTACTAGACGTATCATTTTTTTTCTGTGAGTGTTGTAAGTTAGTTTATGACTTATCTTTGTGATAGTCATTGGTATGTAGTTATTCATATTCTACGATATATATAGTCAGCTCTTGGAAAAGGCTACTCTTCGAGGATCAAGGCCATGAGTATGTTAACGAGTATACAAACGTTGATTATGCATGATCACCCTTTGATAACGTTATACATTGGATATTTTATTTTATTGGAAGGTAAATTGGTGTTGCGGAAGGGTAAGAAACATAGTGTGGTTGCTCGATTTAGTGCAAACAAAGAATATTAAGCAATGATTATAGAATTTGTGAGCTATCTTGGATCAAACAGATGTTGAGAGAACTGAAGTTTGGTGAAACCGATCAAATGGAACTTGTGTGTGATAATCAAGAGGGACTTCATGTTGCATCAGATTTAGTGTCTCATGAGAGGAATAAGGACACTGAAATTGATTGTTACTTCATTAGAGAAAATATACTCCCACAAGATATTGCTACCAAATTTGTGAAGTCAAGTAATTGACTTGCAGATATCTTCACCAAGTCCCTCACTGGTCCTCGTATTAATTATATATTTGTAACAAGTTAGGTACGTATAATTTTTATGCACAATCTTGAAGGGGAGTTCTAGAATAGGGCTAGGTATACACAATCCTACTCATAAAAACAATAGTTTATAGTCTTCAATGCAGTGGAGGAGAAGTTCAAAAAAAAGTAAACGTGTAAATAAGTCTTTCAAAATGGGCCCTTTGAATTTTTTTGGGTTTAAAACCACACTTTTGGCACGTTGTTAAAATATAAAATACTTGAAAAACAGAACTGATTTTTTAAAACAAAAATAGACTGAAACTATAAAGAAAAATAAATTAATGTTGTTGCAAGGATTCAAACCTGGGGCATGCGGCTTAATATTCACGAGTCTTACTATTGAGCCATCTATTTTTATTTGTTATTGAGGGGGTTTAAAAAATATATGCATCTACAGAAATATAGAAAATTTACTTTATATATATCATGTATTATTTTGCCAGGGGTGTTCGGGTGAACACCCTAGAACCAACATGGGTCCGCCCCTACTCCTACGTGGTAAAAAGTTGTATTATAGTGTCTATGTATAGGGTTATGAATGTAATAATGAGAACATATAATCAATAATACGTTTCCTCTTATATTCTCAAAGTTATACTGGAGATTTCAAAAGTAATAGCGTAAAGGTAAGAACTTTACAAATTTAAAAGGTAGTATTTTATAAAAAATAGTGATTTGTTGAATTTTTTTAGCATTCATGGGGGAAATAATACGACGATAGAAGGAGTTGGAGTGAAGGTTAACAGAGGGAATATAAATAAATTTGATAAAGCATCATACCTGGATAAACCGTAGGAATGTGGGATATTTCAGTTTTGCGAAACTTCTAAGACATCAAAGCAGAACTTTTAGAAGTAATTGAATCCAAATTAAAAGTGAACTATAATATAAAATAGAGACCACTATGTAGTAACGTGATTAAGTAAGGTTATGTGGCTTTGCTTAGTTATTGCACAAGTGAACTTAAAGAGGGTCATGAGTAATGGTCTTGCTTTGGTTATGATGAAATGTGCTCTGAGTCATGCTTGTTGCTATTATAACATGAGGATAGAGTTACTTTGACTATGTATTCAATTATATCATATGCATGTTGATTTTACTATGCCTTGTATTGTTGGCCTTATTATATACATGTCTACAACTTAAGGAATATGTCTTATTGATTGGTATGGTCTTGTTGAATGTCAGGATTTCTTTTAAAATTGCAAAGATGAACACGCAAATGAGATATTGTTTTTGGGGACAATAACCTCAACAAAGTGAGCTATGAGTAGAATTGTAATCATACATTAATCCATTTTTTTTCTATTCAACGCCTGGTGGTTATTTTAGACGTGAAAATCAAGATAATATCTAAAAGCATAAAGACCAGACAATGAAGAAAAAAATTTGTACCACCAATGATATTTTATGGAGTTGAATAAATGTAGAGACAAAGAAAATTTTTGTAACCAACATTAATTCTTTTATTTTCCACCTCGCAGACGTAGAAGCCAAGATAAAATTTGTAAAGCATGAAGTTTGAAACAATGAAGAGTCATGTTTGGATGAATTTTGTGGAGTTGAATTAGTCGTGCAGTGTAGGAGAACTCAGAGATGAGAAAGAGTGATTAAAGAGGCAAAACGAAATGTTACAACAACACATAAAAGATATGGGTCAAAGAGAGTTACAACAACACATTATTTTATATGATTTATGGACCTTTTCTTTTTCAGTTCAAAAGAAAGCTTCATGGATATTTTAGTTTTACTATTCAAAATAAACTGTCTACGGAATTTTGGTCGGTATTATTCACAACTACTAAGGCAGTAAAAGAGAGATTTTAAAATTAATTGGTTCGGTCTTAAATCTTGGTTAAAAGATGAACTACAATAATCAAATATGACCAAAAGGCATTTAGACAAACACATGTAAGTATTTAAGTCATCATATATGGAGTTCTATGTGTCCATGCATACATACAAAAGAAGTTGTAAAAATTGCAAAGACAACAATGATAATTATCAAAAGAAATAAATTAGATTGAAAAATCATAATACCCTGATAATTCGAAGGGATTTGGAGCAACGTGTTGAACAACTTCAAATATAGGGCATGAGAGTTCACTATTCTTAAGTAGTGTGTCACCCAAATTCTAGGAGAAGGAAC